AAACTCCCAATGGCTGCCTAAATATCATATCTTTATTGGTATTTGTTTCTCTGTGTAATTGCCATCTTCTAGTTTGTTAATGTCTCTATACAAAACTATACAAAACTACTAGAATATACAGCACAGCCTGTCTTAGTGAACACCTGTCCCTGTCTCTCCTGGACACCTTTCCTCCACACATACTCTACTGACTTCTGGATGAACACCTACCGAGAGTGCACAGATTTTTGCGGCTTCATAGGTGTTCACTGTACACACGTTTTATTAATCAAAATGTATCATTATTTTATCTAGTTGAGAGATGTTAATGTCCAACATCTTAGATCGACCTCAACTGCAGATATACCTGGACAATTGATAATTGACGATTGATTTGCAAACGTGCTTATTATGTCAAGTTAAATGCAAAAAGTAATACTTTGGCAGAGGTAAAGGCAAACATCTACATATGAGCCAGGCCACAGGAAAAGGGGTCTTATCACAGATTTTTTCAATTCATACTTCATGATGAGCCATGACTTATGTTTTAACAATTTTTCCTTGTATATATAGACCAATGTCAGATTTAAATTTAGCACATTTCCCTCTTAATCTTGGGCACATTTTTGGCTTTGTAGAACAATTTTAATTTTTGTGATAAGACCGGTTTTCCTATGGCCAGGCTCATATCTTGTTGAAAGATTGGACTTGCTGAGTCCTTAGTGCATTTCTTAAGAACACTGAAGACACAACTTGATCCATATTACCTTAGTTTTGCTTTGATAGCCTTACCATTTCAATTATTGCTGAGGTAAGCCAGTGCATGTAATAACTCAGAATTTATTGCAATTCCCTGTCCTTGAAGTTACCATCTTAATAACATGCAATATCGTTCTCAAATTTGAATGAAGTGTCCAATTTTCTTCAATTTCTATATAATGCAGTTCGGCGCTACATTACTATATTCCTTATTCCTGCTAACTTCACACTCTTGTACTCGATTTTTTTTATTTTAAACAGGATTATTTCAGATTTTACGCATTGACGTAGAAATTGTGTGCAGAAGAGATTTATATGGAGACAATGTCTAATGAGATTTCTCTCAACTTTACGCCAGTTTTATGTCATCTTAACTGAATATTCTTGAAGCATCTGACTGTTGCTGCAAATATGGGGATTTTATGGGTCTATAACTCGTACCCATGGGGAAAATATCATTGTCCCCATGTATCAAAACTCAAAGTAAATTATAATAGAGTGGCATAAATTGACTTATGAAATAGGCATGCTTCAATAATCTATATTGGGTGGAAATGGAAGAAACTGGAACTGTTTATTCAAATTTTAAAGGGAAATATTACAAAATAACAATGAGTCGACGGATGGTTTAAGCACAGATATGACTTGCATTATGTCATGGTGGTCACACTGTTATCTTATATCAGAAAATGGACATAAATGAAGAATAAAATGACAATTTGCTCACTCTGCAAAAACTATGATGGATCATGGAAGAAAATGTTTAATGATATAGTTGGTCAAAATTAATACTGTTATAGCTGGTCTTGTCAGTGTTAGTTCAGATAATGTCAGTCTAGTTGTCTATGATAGTTCAGTCAATGTTAGTCAAATTGTCTATGATAGTTCAGTCAATGTTAGTCTAATTGTCAGTGATACATGTAGTTCAGTCAATGTTAGTCTAACTGTTAGTGATAGTTCAGTCAATGTTAGTCAAATTGTCAATAATAGTTCAGTCGATGTTTGTCAAATTGTCAATGATAGTTCAGTCAATGTTAGTCATATTGTCAATGATAATTCAGTCGATGTTAGTCAAATTGTCAATGTTAGTTCAGTCGATGTTAGTCAAATTGTCAATGATAGTTCAGTCAATGCTAGTCTAATTGTCAATGATAGTTCAGTCGATGTTAGTCAAATTGTCAATGATAGTTCAATCAATGTTAGTCATATTGTCAATGATAGTTCAGTCAATGTTAGTCTAATTGTCAATGATGGTTCAGTCAATGTTAGTCTAATTGTCAGTGATACATGTAGTTCAGTCAATGTTAGTCTAATTGTCAATGATGGTTCAGTCAATGTTAGTCTAATTGTCAGTGATACATGTAGTTCAGTCAATGTTAGTCTAATCTAATTGAAAGCCCATGTTGTTAGTGATAGTTCAGTCAATATTAGTCTAATTGTGAATGATAGTTAAGTCATTGTTAGTCCCCTGAGTGTTAGAGTAACTATTCTCAGAGTGGATTTTAACCTTCAATGAATTATAATGAAATATTGTTGACAGATTAGCCTACTTGGTGCCAAGATTATTCAACACATCTCTATGCAGTAGAATTATAGCTTATTATAGAAATGAAAAATGACATTGTAATCCACCGGATATGATTATGTCACCTTCCTTAGTTGTTTAAAGTACAAATTACTATTATTCCACATCAATCATTATTATGAAATTAAATGTGTAGAATATCCGTCTACTCATCCTTATTCAAAGCTATAACTCCCCTTAATTTGAAGGAAGTGTCTCATTTTGTTACATTTCTGTACAATATACAATGTTGACTGTATATCTTTATACTTTATTTCATGGTAATTCTACCTTTTTCACTCTATTCTGTATTTGAAAGTAAGACCAAATGTGACATACATTTATATTTCATTTGTGAGTTAAGGTCTAGTAAAGTCATAATACACCTGACAGTGTTCATGAGTAATGATGATATATTACATGTTTTCTTAATAACAATTAAGATCTAATTTATCAAAAAATAATAATCTGTTTATATTGCTAATCATATTATTGTTTCAGAAATGATCTTGATTGATTTAGTTTGAAAATAATTTTTAACAAAGTCAGGATAATGCCGATTTTTTTAAATATTGAAAAGAAATAATTGTATAACGTAGTGCTATACTGTAATATATTTCTGAGTTCTCAACTGTTTGTAGTCCAACATTGAGGTGCATGTTAGGTAGGTCACAAATGCATATAAGCCATTTCTTTACACGTCCCTTTTGCAATAGACTAGATGCAAGTAGAAAAAATCTTGATTTACGTCATCAAAAATTCAGTCAAACTGATGTCATATTTGGAATCGACATCAATTTTCTTTGAAAATGTGACTTCTAGATCAGGGAGATTCCCCAAAGACCCCATTTTGTAAATTCACAAAAAGTGAAATATCTTTTCTTGTGTTGGGCAGATGATATTTTCTTTAACTGGACGTACATGTATTTTAATTTGTTTAACTATCAGGTACGAACAGTAAGGGTAGTATGAAAAGTGAACGACTAAAACTGATGATTATTCAAGTTTAAGGAAACTTTCTAATACCCTGGGATGTTAATTCCCCCCGAATAAGCCACCTGGTGGCAAAACTGGTAACTACCTACTCGCATCTGAGAAATATCCTAGCATTCACCACACCCACACTTTGTTTCCTTTGCATTTTTATGACAATACATCCAGACATTCTTTGGTAAAGTGTTTGAAAGTTGACTTGAGTGTTTCCTACTTTGCAGGTATGTCAGCACCCACACCAAGCATTGAGGGGTTGGGGTGTGGAAGCTATTACAACACTCATCAAAGCTGCTCTTGCTCATTGCTAATATAATGTATATAGTGCTTCACATATTTACTTATAGGTATGTCAGCACCCACACCAAGCAATGAGGGGTTGGGGTGTGGAAGCTATTACAACACTCATCAAGGCTGCTCTTGCTCATTGCTAATATAATGTATATAGTGCTTCACATATTTACTTTGTAGGTATGTCAGCACCCACACCAAGCAATGAGGGGTTGGGGTGTGGAAGCTATTACAACACTCATCAAGGCTGCTCTTGCTCATTGCTAATATAATGTATATAGTGCTTCACATATTTACTTATAGGTATGTCAGCACCCACACCAAGCAATGAGGGGTTGGGGTGTGGAAGCTATTACAACACTCATCAAAGCTGCTCTTGCTCATTGCTAATATAATGTATATAGTGCTTCACATATTTACTTATAGGTATGTCAGCACCCACACCAAGCAATGAGGGGTTGGGGTGTGGAAGCTATTACAACACTCATCAAAGCTGCTCTTGCTCATTGCTAATATAATGTATATAGTGCTTCACATATTTACTTATAGGTATGTCAGCACCCACACCAAGCAATGAGGGGTTGGGGTGTGGAAGCTATTACAACACTCAACAAAGCTGCTCTTGCTCATTGCTAATATATAATGTATATAGTGCTTCACATATTTACTTATAGGTATGTCAGTACCCACACCAAGCAATGAGGGGTTGGGGTGTGGAAGCTATTACAACACTCGTCAAAGCTGCTCTTGCTCAGTGCTAATATAATGTATATAGTGCTTCACATATTTACTTTGTAGGTATGTCAGCACCCACACCAAGCAATGAGGGGTTGGGGTGTGGAAGCTATTACAACACTCATCAAAGCTGCTCTTGCTCATTGCTAATATAATGTATATAGTGCTTCACATATTTACTTATAGGTATGTCAGCACCCACACCAAGCAATGAGGGGTTGGGGTGTGGAAGCTATTACAACACTCATCAAAGCTGCTCTTGCTCATTGCTAATATATAATGTATATAGTGCTTCACATATTTACTTATAGGTATGTCAGCACCCACACCAAGCAATGAGGGGTTGGGGTGTGGAAGCTATTACAACACTCATCAAAGCTGCTCTTGCTCATTGCTAATATATAATGTATATAGTGCTTCACATATTTACTTGTAGGTATGTCAGCACCCAAACCAAGCAATGAGGGGTTGGGGTGTGGAAGCTATTACAACACTCATCAAAGCTGCTCTTGCTCATTGCTAATATAATGTATATAGTGCTTCACATATTTACTTATAGGTATGTCAGCACCCACACCAAGCTTCGAGGGGTTGGGGTGTGGAAGCTATTACAACACTCATCAAAGCTGCTCTTGCTCATTGCTAATATAATGTATATAGTGCTTCACATATTTACTTGCAGGTATGTCAGCACCCACACCAAGCAATGAGGGGTTGGGGTGTGGAAGCTATTACAACACTCATCAAAGCTGCTCTTGCTCATCGCTATGAACCACCATTAGAGGAAAATTTAGTAAGAACACAAATCTCAAATTATAATCCTTTATATGGAATTATTTGTATTAAAACATTCATATATTTCTTTTTTCAAAGATGCATCTGAACATGAAAGCTTTGTTTATTTTCTTTAGAACACATTAATAGTTCATGGTTGTTATTATGTCACCACCAAAAGTGGTGACATATTGTTATGGTCTCCGTTTTTTTGCGACGGCGTCCGGCGGTTGGTGGTTGGTGGTTGGCGTCTGTAACAATTTCTTACAACTTCCTATAACTTAACAAATACTGTTTAGACTGACTTCAATTTTTTTTAAAATCATCTACATGTTCTCAGAAGTTCAAATCTGACTTTAGATTTGACATTTGACCTTCAATGACCTTCTCAAGGTCAAAAGGGTCTTTTTTCAACTTGCTTCACATTGACTAAATTTTTTTTCAAAATCATCTACATGTTCTCAGAAATTCAAATCTGACTTTAGATTTGACATTTGACCTTCGAATCTGACTGTAGATTTGACATTTGACCTTCAATGACCTTCTCAAGGTCAAAAAAGGTCAAAAAGGTCTGTTTTCAACTTGCTTCAAATTGACTAAATTTTTTTTTCAAAATCATCTACGTGTTCTCAGAAATTCAAATCTGACTTAAGATTTGACATTTGACCTTCAATGACCTTCTCAAGGTCAAAAAAGGTCAAAAAGGTCTGTTTTCAACTTGCTTCAAATTGACTAAAAAATCTTTTCAAAATCATCTACGTGTTCTCAGAAATTCAAATCTGACTTTAGATTTGACTTAAGATTTGACATTTGACCTTCAATGACCTTCTCAAAGTCAAAAAAGGTCAAAAAGGTCTTTTTTCAACTTGCTTCAAATTGACTAAATTTTTTTTTCAAAATCATCTACATGTTCTCAGAAATTCAAATCTGACTTTAGATTTGACATTTGACCTTCAATGACCTTCTCAAGGTCAAAAAAGGTCAAAAAGGTCTGTTTTCAACTTGCTTCAAATTGACTAAATTTTTTTTTCAAAATCATCTCCGTGTTCTCAGAAATTCAAATCTGACTTAGGATTTGACTTAAGATTTGACATTTGACCTTCAATGACCTTCTCAAGGTCAAAAAAGGTCAAAAAGGTCTGTTTTCAACTTGCTTCAAATTGACTAAAAAATTTTTTCAAAATCATCTACGTGTTCTCAGAAATTCAAATCTGACTTTAGATTTGACTTAAGATTTGACATTTGACCTTCTCAAAGTCAAAAAAGGTCAAAAAGGTCTTTTTTCAACTTGCTTCAAATTGACTAATTTTTTTTTTCAAAATCATCTACATGTTCTCAGAAATTCAAATCTGACTTTAGATTTGATATTTGACCTTCAATGACCTTCTCAAGGTCAAAAAAGGTCAAAAAGGTCTGTTTTCAACTTGCTTCTAATTGACTAAATTTTTTTTTCAAAATCATCTATGTGTTCTCAGAAATTCAAATCTGACTTAAGATTTGACTTAAGATTTGACCTTCAATGACCTTCTCAAGGTCAAAAAAGGTCAAAAAGGTCTGTTTTCAACTTGCTTCAAATTGACTAAAAAAAAAATTTTCAAAATCATCTACTTGTTCTCAGAAATTCAAATCTGACTTTAGATTTGACTTAAGATTTGACATTTGACCTTCTCAAAGTCAAAAAAGGTCAAAAAGGTCTTTTTTCAGCTTGCTTCAAATTGACTAAATTTTTTTTTCAAAATTCTCAGAAATTCAAATCTGACTTTAGATTTGACATTTGACCTTCAATGACCTTCTCAATGTCAAAAAAGGTCAAAAAGGTATTTTTTCATCTTGCTTCAAATTGACTAAATATTTTTTCAAAATCATCTACATGTTCTCAGAAATTCAAATATGACTTTAGATTTGACATTTGACCTTCAATGACCTTCTCAAGGTCAAAAAAGGTCAAAAAGGTCTTTTTTCAACTTGCTTCAAATTGACTAATTTTTTTTTTCAAAATAGGTGGTGACATTTTGTCATGTTAATGCCTTGTATTTATATTTACTAGGCCAGGCTTGACGCCTTTCAGAAAATTATTTTTTGTTGTCATCAGAAAATTATCAGATGACATATCTGAAACTATTTTACCAACCAATTACAAATCATTGATGAAGATAGTTTAAAACCCATATTCACAAAAGAGTCTATTTTCTATTATGTTTTACAGAAACTTCAGTCTATGCTGCTAGCACCATTACAAGAGTTGTCTTCCCTCCCTCATGCAGATATTCGCCAACAACAACTAGAATGTGTGCTTGTTATTCTTCACAACAATGGGGACACTCTTGGGCAGGGTTGGCCTTTAATCCTGGGGGTCATAGGAGCTGTCACTAACAACCAGGGGTATGACTCATATGTTACAGCCATCATTATTTTGTTGTGACTTGCTGGCCTTGACATTGTCATCTTGCAGTCGGGTCAGTGTCTGTAAAAAGTGGCAATTTCACCCAGGTGTTTTCATTCTTTCACGTTAACACCTTGTTTATATATGTAGTAAATGTATTAGGGAATTAGATTCGCATGGTCATCTTATGTTGAGTTTGGTAAAAATGCACTTTCTGGTTCAGAGAATGAACATTTTGAGATTCACAATTGTAGTCAGTGAAAATAGGTAAACATGTTCCATTCTGTTTATCAAAGTGCTATATTGTCATTGTCTTGTACTGCTGGCCATGGGCACATGGGGGGGGGGGTAAGTGCCAGAAATCTTTTCATCAATATTCAGGGAAAATCTCAACTTGAAGTTTTCACAGATGCAATTTTGATTAGGTTTTGGGCATGCTGGGTAAATTACTTGATTGCCATTTTGAAATTTTCGATGAAAAAAGTATGACATTTATATCTGTTTGTCTTGTTTATTTTCTCTTGTTATGCAAACTTGCTATATTTATACTATGCTGATATTTGATTTCAGGGAAAATCTAATCAGGTCAGCTTTTCAAAGCCTCCAACTAGTTGTGACAGACTATCTACCTGTGATGCCCTGTACCTGTCTGCAGATCTGTGTAGGGGTTGCATCAAAATTTGGACTCCAGAACCAAGAGCTTAACATAAGCCTAACATCAATAGGCCTGCTGGTATGTATTCATTTTAATGGTGGGATTTTTACAACCATAGACATGGAAAATTCTAGATAGGTATTCAACTTTTTCTTTAATCATAGATGTCACCCTATGACTGGACTTAAATTGAGAGTAGTTGAAGAGTAATAAAAAGAGTAAATTGCCTAAGAGCCCCAGGATCCAAGACCCTCAAGTATTGCTTGTTTATAGGCATTTTGGATTGCTGTTCAGTATGTTAATCATCAAATAGCTTTAGGATCAAAAACTAAACCTCCCATTTCTCTTCATGATGTCATATTGTGTCAGGACATTGTATAGCACAAAGGTCATCATTTGAAATTTATTACCCCAGAAGCTCCTATCAAATTGTATCATGCCAGTAACTCACTCCATCTACACTCATCAACTATAGCTTACTTTCTTATATTCATATAGCTTTATTGCTTAACAATATATATTGGCATTGCTTTATCATGTCACCACCAAAAGTGATGACATATTCCTATGGTCTCCAACGGGCGGTGTTAGGTGGTTGATGTTTGGCATTTGGTGTTTGATGGTCAGTGTCTGTAACAAATGGCAGGTGGTGACATTTTGCTTGTTAATGCCTCATGAATAATATAGTATAGCTTTATATAATATATATTTATTTTTATGTTTATATATGCTTATCAGATTCCTTTGTCCTACAATAACTGAAAATCAAATATATCATCAGATTCATACTACATGTACACGTATGATGACAGCATTTTACTAATAAAATTAGATCTGCACTATTGTGTACTTCTTCAAAAATTACATTTATCTAAAATCGGAACCATTGTTTGAATATTAATAGATCTACACTTATAAGTTTATATACAATGTAATATATATATTTATAGGATATCCTATGATTTTGAGAAATATCATTTTTATCTACGAGGTGATATTGATATCTGCACGAGAGAGCGAAGCGAACAAGTGCATATAACAATATCACCGAGTAGATTAAAATGATATTCTGAAAAAAATCATAGGATGCTCTTATTATCCTACACTTACTAGTAGTGAACTGTTTAATATCATTGAAAATTAAATTTCATGTCAAATACACTGTAGTTCAATTTGGCAGGAAATCAACAAGCGGAGTATATCATCACAATATCCTCCACATATTGGTTTTCAGGAGTATATCGTGGTGGTATCCTTCGGTAATTCATTTTGCCAAAAGATATCAAATTTATTTTATAATTTTATACATTTAGTACACTAAGTGTAGGATAAAATATAATATGTAGAATAATGTACAGTAAGCTTATATGTATATCTATTCTACTTTCAGTGGAACATATCAGATTTCTTTTACCAAAACCGTCAAAAAATCACAGTCGAGTTAAACCAAAAGCTAACAGATCAAGAGAAACATAAACTTGGAATGCCCCCATTTGATAACTTATGGATGTGCCTGTTCGCAAAGCTGGGAGAGTTGTGTGTTGACCCTAGACCTGCTGTGCGTAAAAGTGCTGGGCAGACTTTGTTCTCCACTATATCAGCACATGGTAGATTGCTGCAAAGAGCCACATGGCAAACTGTAATTTGGCAGGTAGGTTAAGTTTGGCAGATTTGTGGTGGGGGTTTCCTGAATGCCATGAAGGGCAAGTGGAATATCATCTTGTGAAAGTGTATTCTCAAAAAATATAATTAGATATTTGTTTTATTATTCACTGTTATATTCCTCACTCACATTAATGGGATAAAAAACTATTGATGTATAATTAATTGTTACCATGTACTCTTGAGTATATATAAAATTACACTGGACTAGGTCAGACCGTTGAATATCATTTGAAGTTCAGAGGGATATAGGGAACGCTGTACGTCCATACCCCTGGGCGATAACTCAAATACCCGATTTTGTTCATATTTTGTACACATTTGTGTCCTATGGGGATAGAAATTCTGCTCAAAAGTTAGTTTTCAAAATGGCCACTCATTTCAAAATAATGGCCATTTTAGTGCAGTATACAAGACTGTAATAGCATCTAGATGTTTAAGCAACACATGGCAGCCATATTGAAAAATGGCGGCTTTTAACTAAACTAAAAAACTTAACTAAAAAAGTAGTGGAGCAATTTTTTTCATAATTGATATGTGAAAACTCATTAGCATGGCACACTGTTTTATGTTTTAGAAGGCAGTCATTTTTGAAAATGGCCACCATATTTACATGCATTTTTTTTCGTTTTTACTATAACTAAAAAAGTAATAGAGCGATTTTGTTCATATTTAATATGTGAATACTCATTAGCATGGTACACTGTCTTATAACACTTTAGCCAGTGAGCAGGCATTTTGAAAAATGGTCACCATATACAGGTATGTCTGTGCGGTTCTGTTGAAATTTTATGTAGGCCTACCTATAAACATATTACTCTTGGATAGTGAGGGATCATTTTTAAAATGGTGAACTTTGAATTTTTGCTATCATTGTAAAACTAATAGAAGGATTTGTAAAAGTGGCAGCCATGGCTGTTGATGGGATTTGCTACGCTTTGGCGTTGCTATTGTCTAGTTTAGTAAGGAATTAAGGGGTAGGGTGCAACAAATAAAGGAATGGCAACTTTAGAGAAACAGTCGATAGCGGGGCAAATTAAGGAGGGTTGGTCGTTTAAAATATTCAATTTACCTGACCTTGATTAGGCTTGCCAATGATTTTTTTCCCTTTTGGTGTTCTTTTGTTATGGCACTGTTCTGTTCCAGGTGTTACGGTCCAAGGTTTTTGAAATAAATATTTCTGATTTGTTCCAACTTCTTTTTGATTCTGTATAGAGGGTTTGTAAAAGGGATTAAAAGGAAATGGTTCTTGAAATAAATATTTTTCATTTGTTCCAACTTCTTTTTGATTCTGTGTAGAGGGTTTGTAAAAGGGATTTAAAGGAAATGGTTCTTGAAATAAATATTTTTCATTTGTTCCAACTTCCAACAATTTTCTGTTATCAGAGGCAAGTTCCCTGTCGCTAGAAACATTCACATATTCAAGGGGCATAAAGGCTGCATCTTCAGATATGAGTGAAGCATCAGCCTCATTCTTACTTTCAATAATGGGAAAGGGTTCAAAATTAAGTTTTGGAGACCAATCTAAATCGGTGTCTTCAATTTCTATTTGTTGTACTTTTGGTTTAAAAGATTTCCATTGTGAGGTTATTTTATTAACTTTCAGTGTATCTTCCAACGTTGGTTGAAGTATATCATAATCCACTCGCAGCTTCTGTTGCAAGTGTAGACAGTTTTCATCCATCTTGTCCCAGTCATCTTGCAACTTCTTGATTTCCCTCTCCATCTTAATGATTTCAACATTATGGCCTTCTTTATTGAGCTTTGTCAGGAATTCTATGGATGTGTTCACCCCTAGTTCTTTATGTTGGAGGAGATCTGTGTGGGCATCAATGTTCTTTTTCTCTGGACCATGTATGGTGTCTAACTGCTGAAGTAGGTTTTTGGCAACATTATCAGCTAAATCATGGATTGACTTTTGCAGTTTAGAGATCGCTGATTTGCAGTTGTCAACTTGTTCTTCCAGCTTTTTCTCGTAGGAGTTATGAGCAATCATAGCCAGCATTATAACATCCAGTTTCTCTTTGCCAGATGCGACAACTTGATCTATCTGCTGTGTCACAGTTTCAGCAGCATCTTTGATTTCAACACTTTCATGTGATCGGTGTTTGGTTGGGAAGCAATCCCTACAGAAGAGCTCCTTGCAAGTTTGGCAGTAGAATTTCAGTGGCTCGCTGGTGTGCTGCTCGCAGTAGATTGTACGGCTTTGGACCAATCGCCTGTTTGATGGGTCGGCAAAATCACTGATTTTCAAGGTGATGTGACCTTTCATGACCTTGAAACTGTTGTGAGTTTGGCAGCAAGGGTCACACATGACCAGATCACAATCCACACAACGATTGGTTCCTTCTCCTGTATCCCCATTTTCTTTACATCTGAAAGGAGACAGGAGTACATGTAGTTAGTATAGCAAAACAGTTGCATAAAGTACAATTTACTACAATTTACAATTTGAAGTGAACACCTCTTGTTAAGTTAACATCTCCAAGTTCTGTCTAAGTTGAATGCCCCTTAAAGTTGAGCACCTAACATGAACAACACTCGAGTCAAATTGCTCTTAAATGAGCACCTTTTGAATTTGAACCTCTCTAGGGTGAAGACTTCTTCAACCAAACACCTCTTTATAGAGTTAAACATTTCTCAAGCCTTGTAATTGTGTATGTATGGAAAATATCTAGCTCTTGTTTATGATCAATATCAGAATCATTAATTTAGTATGGATGTTGATTTATTGACCTGAGCACTCAGTATATTTACATTATGCTAGGTTAAAATGTCTCAAAGAATGGCAAAACTGTTTTATATTTTGGACTTTGTATTGAGCATGAGATTGTTACTTATAAATCAAGGTAAAAGCAATGACATATGTATGAGAGGGAACTGTTAGGGACTTTAATATAGAAGCAGTTGAGAAGCAAAGAAATATTGAAATTAATCTTAAGCCCTGGTCCTGTTACTAGCCCTATTTATTACACTATACATAGCATTCCAAAATGACTTGACAAAGTAGCTCTGATAAAATTATAGGTGTGAATATTTTCGAAACGAATGCATGATATATACTCATATTTCTGACAAAATAGGTGACATGAACGGCAATCACGTGCAAAGACCGAACGTTATGCGCTCGGTTTTTTTGCCGATCGCATTTTTACCGTGTCGGCATTTCATAAAAAATGATTTCTAAAAATACCAACATAATGCGTGATTTGTGTGATATTTGATCATACACGCTAAATTGATGGGTGATTTCTATTTTTCAAGCAAATGCGTGACAATCATGCCTAATGCGTGAGGGTTGACAGGACTGAATCCTGTTCTTAAATACATCGGAATCAATTGGCTAAAAACAGTAATCATGTGGCAAGATTTACATAAAGGATATAGGAAAAAGGTCAGCCAAACTCAAGATTTGGAATGCAGCATTTCACTCTGGTCAATGCATTAAAAGTCGGTTGAGAGCTCTAAGCTAAAACCGATGAATTAACACTTGGCTTGTAAAATGTCTTACATTTCAAGGTGACTAGTGTCTTCAAAATGTTTTGTCTGAGAGCTCTTTTAAGCCCACAAGACATCTTCAGATGTGGATTTACATTACAATCTTAATAAAGACATCTTAACATTTTACGTGTTCTAATCCTACTACTGAAGAAGGTTCAAAAAATCAGAAGCCTTCAGAAGATATATCCCACTATTTTAAGTGCATTCAAGGCTAACATTCATGACTCACCTTTCGCAATTAAGACCTTTCTCTCTGTCAGCCCCAGAGACAAAATAGTCCACCAAACTGAACATGAAATGATTGAATGTTGAGCCAGCAGATGTCACTGCATTCATCTTCATTGGTTGGTAACAAATCGGGCACGGAAACTCCACCTCTTCTGGGGCCTCATCTGGCTTCTTGTGTTTAGCAATATGGTTGTCTAGACATTTCTCACAGAATGTATGTACGCAAGGGAGAATCTTGGGTGATTTGTAGACATCTAGGCATATTGCACAAGTTAGAAATCTGTCTTTCACATCTTCATCCGTCTTTTTGTCCTTTTCTACTTTTTCTGCCATGATTTTCAGATTGTATGTACTGGTATATTAGGTTATATATCATGTACTAGAATATTTAATGTGAATTCTGAATCATGTGATTTTGGTTTCAGTTCTCAGAAGTAATCTGAATTATAGTTGATTTGACTGCCATCTTTTTATCAAACAAAAGTTTTTTCATGTTTTATGCCTAATATACATGTAGATTCTATCAATTTCATTATTTGTGGTTGCCTATTTTTAGAAGCACATTACTCAATCTAATGAATAACCTCAGGAAACCCCTTACTTTCCTGGGAGTTGTGCACCAGACAGTAAAGGAGAAAAGAAGAGATAGATGTATTTTTTTATAAACCTAAAATACCAAGTATTCTATATATTAATATTCAAATATTCAGTTCACACATCAGCCAAATATTTCATATTTATGTATGTTTCCACTTTTTTCTCTTAGGTTCTTTTCCCTCTACTAGACCAGGTGAAGAAGCTCTCTAGCAAGGCTCCTGATACTAAAGACAGCTCCGATACGGGTAACATACTTATACACCACTCTCGTGATACTGCACAGAAACAATGGGCCGAGACAAGGGTACTTAGTCTAGCAGGTGTGGCTAGAGTGTTCAACACAAAACGTAAAGTACTGCAATTACTAGGTTAGTTTTTTAATGTTTTTATTGGCCCAATCTTGTTTATATTTTATTCCTATATGCCCCGTGTGAGGACAAATTCTGCTCAGAAGCCAATTTTCAAAATGGCCACCAGTTTCAAAATGGCTGCCATTTTAGAGTTAATTTTACAGTATTTTAGGTACAACTTATAAAACTGCAATAGTAGCAAACAGGGCAGGGCCAACAGGGCATTTAACTACAACTGCTCAATGTTATTGAAATCAAAATAGAAATGTTTTTGGCCCACCCTGTATTATTCAGATAAATTAATTTAGTGCTTATTTTGTACTGGTTCATATAAGCTTTATTTAGCAGTTATGTCCCTATCATTGAATGTATGCCTAAGGTCTGTCACCAATATAGCCCGATCTTGCGAGGGTTATATTACGACAGACCGAAGGCATATATTCAATGATACGGACATAACTGTTGTATTACATACTTTTATATCATGGCTACGTTATATCAATGACGCCACGTGTCTGTGTGCGAGTGAAATTAGGAAGAAATGAAACATGACGTCCCGATGACGTCATAAGATTGTCATGGTAAAAGGTTTGGCGGCTATACAGGAATATATAGCCGACCTTCAGCTCCATTGACTTCAATACAAATGCTTCGCTGGATATGTAATACATTAGCATAAATATGTAGCTAAATAAGCGCTAATATATAGTAATCACATATGCTAATGTAAGCACTAGTTTTTCTGTGTTAATTGATTATACTTTAAATGTAATCTCTGTAAAGGTAGATTTAATTTCATAATTCATTCTTTTCATTCCAGGAGACTTCCCCAGAGCCTGGGCTCTTTTATTAGAGTTTATTGAAAATGCAGCACTATCGCGAAATGCTGAGATCTCCCTTGCAGCTTTGAAAAGTTTCCAAGAAATATTACACATTACTAAACATTCAAATGATGGTGGAGATTTTCCCGGGATTCCCAAAATGGCCGACAGTGATGTGGAGCCTCCCAGTGAGGAAATAATGTCTAGGGAAGATGATGGTTTATCTCCATCTAGTGAGGAAAATATAGCTGAAAAGGAGGAATCCATAACTGATGATATAACAGTCTGGTCAACCGCCTGGCGGGTTTGGTTAAGCATAGGAACCCAAGCTACTGAGTGCCCATCAGCTACTACCCCCAAAGATCAAATCTATGTTCCTACTCAGGCATTTCTTACAGCCTTAGTGCAAATATACCCTGCATTATATGAACATATTAAGACAAGATTCGTAGCTGCAGATCTCCAGAAGTTGTCCACGGTCTTACAGAGGGCACTCTCAGCTCCAGTCGCTGGCGACGCGAGCCCTTTTATCGTACCTGTGGGTGCTCCTGAGGTGTCCCTCACCCCCCTTCAGGACTCTGTACTCAGTGCAGTGAAGACTCTTCATAGTGTAAGATGAGCTTTTATTAAGTGAAATTCTTTTTAAATGAAAATTGTTCATTATTATCATTAATAATTTTCAGCAATGTTCATGCTCCATACATGCTACATACAGGTAGCTACATGTATACCGATACCCAAGCCCTGTACATACATACTCGTATATATTGATATCACTTCATACACACATTTTCAATGAGATATGATCAGATTTTAAGCAGAGTACCAACTTAATTACTGTTTGAAAATCTTCATTTCTTTTCTTATTTACCTTGGTGTTCATATTTGGAATTTTGTGAATTCCTGGTGAAAAAGCCATCTACACTGTATTCATTATAACATAAAAGTGAAAAATGATTTGAGGCACCAGGAATTAAATTTTTTTTTTTTTTGGTTTAGATTTTTATGGTTTAGAATTCCCTATTTATTTTATAGGACTTAATAAAAGGCACAGAGTCCTCAAAAACCATGTATCCTGATCTCTTTGGGCAACTCTTGACATTTATTGAGTATGCAGTGCGACCGCCCAAATATGGAAACATTGAGACAAAAGCTGTGGGGTCTGTAAGAGGAATGCAGGTTAGTGGATGTTGTTAAAATATTTTCATCCCACCAAACTTAGTTGATGAGGGATATAGAGTAGAGGTGTAACTCCCGAGTCCATAACTCGAGTACAGCTTGTCTGACCTGCCTATACATTGCCTAGAGTTGTCCTCTAGAACAGGGCCGTAGGGAGAGGGGGTTCGTAGGGCTCGTGCGAACCCCCCCCCCCAAATCTTGCCTAAAAAAAATTTGAACCCACCCTTTCTGGCAATTATGCAAACCTCCAAACTTTGAGTAAAATTTTTGAGAGTCTTTCAATAATTTATCGTTTTTGATTACCCAAAGACAATTGAGTTATATGTCAAGATGGAAATATGTGAGATTTATAGCTTCATTTTGAGTAAAAAAGATTTTAAAAAAACAGAAAAACAAAAACTTCTAATCAATAATGGGCGATAATAGGTATGCTCTTTGCACTTTAGGCCTGAAATACTGAAGTAATATCTTCAAAATGAATTCAAATGCACAAATAAAGCATACCTACTAAGTTGAAATTATCTGATTGTTGTACATAACGTCAAAATGGTCTAATTTTTGATATAAATCAGCAGAGAATTTTGAACATGTGAATGTTTAGGTATGAGGTTCCATATCCATCCGCCAAAAGGTATGACCCCTATATAGTCCATTTAAAAACTCGTGGTATTGTTCTAAATAACGCCATAGTTTGCTTCTAGGGTACCTAGTATGCCACTATTTGGTATCAAAATAAAGAGGAGTTCAACTTTCATTTGAATTACGAAAATAGCGATGTAGGTCAAAAATAGTTCCGACGTGAAGGTGTTTACTACGCGGTTGCCCGTCGTATCAGAATTGAGGAAGTGGTAGCAAACGCGAGTCACAATGAACGGACGCTGATATCTCAAAAAGTAACCTGACTCCCTATAATTTGATGTAGATCAATCAAACCCCTATATGAACAGGTACATTTTGATATATAACACTATGGGGGGTAAGCGTTTTATAGTTGGTCACGAACGCCATATGTGCAAAGTATTGTTATGAATTTTCGAATTTGGCGTTGGATTACGGTACTCATACCTTAATATGAGGCCTAAAATTGTCTGCTAGTTGGCCAGAGACCAATATTCTAGCAGAATTTGAGAACAGAATCGATTTTTTCGTTCTGCGTAGGGCAAACAATGATTTGAAATCACTTTCAACCATTCTGTGAGTATAAGAATGGTCATAAGAGGCCCGTGGAGGGTCATGGATGAAAGAGAGCCCTCTGAAATTCCGTCAAAATTGCAGGTTATTTCTTCATTTTTTGCTAAAATTACATGATTTTCAGGGCCCATATCTCAGTGAAATTGCTACAATGTAGCGATTTTTCATTTTTACAGGCTAGATACACGTCAGGTCGACAGAAACAGTAATCATGTGTGATTCTTAAATTGCTACATTGTAGCAATATTTATTTCAAAATACAGGTGTGGGGGAAACTGCAATTTAGTTAGATTTGGGCGAAAATGGCCACATTTCAGTCAAAATCCTCGGGACACAGGGCCTTTGTCTTAGATTTAGTCAATGATGCAACTCTTAGTAGGAGGTGTGCCATATAGGGTATGAAAGCTGTTTGTCAGACGTATCATCTTCTTCAATAAACTCAGAGATAGTCAGGTTAGATTTGTGACGTCACAGTGGCAAAGTTAGACAAGCATATTTAGACGTATTTGGGGTAGGGCAAATTAACCCTTTCTAGCCTAAATGGATAAATTTTTCACATATTCAGCCAGTTCCGACGTTTTTATGCATTTTTGAACTAAAAATGATATTTTCTGCCAAAAAAAGTTGCAGAGACAAAAATCAGTGTGATGTCATAACACATTAATATGAGGCCTAAAATTGTCTGCTAGTTGGCCAGAGACCAATATTCTAGCAGAATTTGAGAACAGAATCGATTTTTTCGTTCTGCGTAGGGCAAACAATGATTTGAAATCACTTTCAACCATTCTGTGAGTATAAGAATGGTCATAAGAGGCCCGTGGAGGGTCATGGATGAAAGAGAGCCCTCTGAAATTCCGTCAAAATTGCAGGTTATTTCTTCATTTTTTGCTAAAATTACATGATTTTCAGGGCCCATATCTCAGTGAAATTGCTACAATGTAGCGATTTTTCATTTTTACAGGCTAGATACACGTGTCAGGTCAGGTCGACAGAAACAGTAATCATGTGTGATTTTTAAATTGCTACATTGTAGCAATATTTATTTCAAAATACAGGTGTGGGGGAAACTGCAATTTAGTTAGATTTGGGCGAAAATGGCCACATTTCAGTCAAAATCCTCGGGACACAGGGCCTTTGTCTTAGATTTAGTCAATGATGCAACTCTTAGTAGAAGGTGTGCCATATAGGGTATGAAAGCTGTTTGTCAGACGTATCATCTTCTTCAATAAACTCAGAGATAGTCAGGTTAGATTTGTGACGTCACAGTGGCAAAGTTAGACTAGCATATTTAGACGTATTTGGGGTAGGGCAAATTAACCCTTTCTAGCCTAAATGGATAAATTTTTCACATATTCAGCCAGTTCCGACGTTTTTATGCATTTTTGAACTAAAAATGATATTTTCTGCCAAAAAAAGTTGCAGAGACAAAAATCAGTGTGATGTCATAACACATTAAGGTATGAGGTTCCATATCCATCCGCCAAAAGGTATGACCCCTATATAGTCCATTTAAAAACTCGTGGTATTGTTCTAAATAACGCCATAGTTTGCTTCTAGGGTACCTAGTATGCCACTATTTGGTATCAAAATAAAGAGGAGGAGTTCAACTTTCATTTGAATTACGAAAATAGCGATGTAGGTCAAAAATAGTTCCGACGTGAAGGTGTTTACTACGCGTTTGCCCGTCGTATCAGAATTGAGGAAGTGGTAGCAAACGCGAGTCACAATAAACGGACGCTGATATCTCAAAAAGTAACCTGACTCCCTATAATTTGATGTAGATCAATCAAACCCCTATATGAACAGGTACATTTTGATATATAACACTATGGGGGGTAAGCGTTTTATAGTTGGTCACGAACGCCATATGTGCAAAGTATTGTTATGAATTTTCGAATTTGGCGTTGGATTACGGTACTCATACCTTTAGTGACACTGGGCCGTGATGCACCAAAATTGTGAACGCTAGAAAATTCTTACTTACAACGTTCTTTTTCATGCTGTAGTTAGATCAGAGAGCAAGTATAAAGATCACTCACACAGAGTTATTTACTGATTTTTGGCTCCTATTTATTTATAAAGCTCGTTGTACAAGCGATTGAAAATTGGGGGAAGGGGGTTCTATGTCTGCTAATTTCTGTGAATTTGTGGTATGTTGGGTCCAAATTTAAAAAAATCTGCCCAAATAAATGAACTTGGTCTTGGGATATTTTACCTATTTTTTGCTTTTGCAATTGTTTGAGATTTGGTATTCTTGAGAAAATTTGGTAAAATTTTAAATTTTAGCGAATGGGCCAAAATTATGAAAATTTGGCAACAATGAAACTTTGGCAAAATTTATCCATTATTGGCATTTAAGTAAAATTGGCAAAATTTAAGTAAAATTTTAGAAACTTGTCAAAAATTAATTAAATTAGACCAAAATTAAGAAAATTTGCAAAATTTAAGCAAATTTGGCAAAATTGAGGTAAATTGGCAAACATACAGCAAATTTGGCAGAATTTCAGCAAATTTGGCAAAATTTCATTAAATTTGGTAAAATTTCATCAAATTTGGCAAAAATTTAAGCAAATTTGGCAAGATTTTAGCAAATTTGGTAAAATTGAAACAAATTTGACAAAATTTAAGCAAATTTGGCAAAATTTAAGCAAATTTGGCAAAATTTATGCAAATTTGGCAAAACTTGAGCAAATTTTGCAAAATTTAAGCACATTTGGCAAATTTGGCAGAAAATATTAGAACCCCCCCTGACAAATCCTGGCTACGCCACTGTAGAAACTCGCAATCTATTTCAACTCGCAAGCTAGCTATAACTCAAGTAAACTCCCAAGTTTTGCCTATCTTGCAAGCATGTAAAATGAATTCGAGTCCCAGAGATCATGCAACATTACATCATTAGGAGAATGAATATACCAATGATCGCCATATTTACTATTTAGCGCCCATCACCTAAAAAACACTCTCAAAGCCTCACAAAGTTCAACAAATATCGAGGAATGACAACTTACACAAAAACATCAGAAAAATATTGATTATCGAAGGAACTCAAGCGGGCGATAATAATAAGTCACTAAAATTGAATAAAAAATGGTCCCCTTATTCTCAAGTCGTTTACTCCACTTTTACTTAAAAAAGATGATCTGTATCATTAAATTAAGATTATAAGTCATAACTTTAGATCGATATCCAGCAGTCTTTAGTAGAAATAATGAAGATAATCCGGGAAAACCATTCATTAATTTAAGGGGCCCCTCTGGGTTTTCTATAATATTGTTTGGTTAGTTTCTTGGTTCATTTTAGCGATCTCTAATCCTTAAGCTTACCATATGCGGTGACGTCCGTACCAGATCGTTTTTGATTGAAATATGAGATAACTGCAATGAATACCACACTTTCTTATGGCCCCAACGTGTTTAACAGCTTTTACATGTGACTAAACCAGAGAAACTTGCCGCTAGAACATGTAGAAGTTACAGTAATTTTGTGTACCAGATTTACAATATGTACTCAGTCTGGACGAAATGAATTAACTCAAGTTTTACTCGAGTTTTAGAAATATTTGGCAAGTTGAACTCGAGTTTTTTTTTTCTGGCGAGTTACACCTCTAATATAGAGGCATAGGTAGTCCATCCTATTGTCCATCTGTCCATCCATTAGTCAGTCTATTTGTCTGTCCAGGCAATAACTCCAATTCTAAGTGACAAATTGGTTTCAAATTTTATAGGCTGGTGCCAAATGGGCATAAGATCCAGGCCTGTCAACTGTCCCGCAATTTGCGTATTTGTCACGCATTTGCTGAAGAATTTGAAGTCACGCCAGTTATTTTTGCGTGACAGAAAATAAATACGCATTTTACCTGGTAATTGTCATGCAAAAATATTTCTGTAGAAAAATTTCTAAAAAAGATCGTCTACACAGCAGAAATACGAACGCCGGAAAAAAATGTACGCATTTTGTTCGGACTTTTCACGCGAATTACATATATGTCACGCATTCCGTTCGAAATTTTTCGTACCTACCCCCCCCCCCCCCCCCCCCCCCCCCCCGCGTTTGAAACTTGAGCGTAGAGAGCGCGAAAAATTTGAGGTGTTCAAAATTTGGCAAGATGTAATGAAATTTAAACCAAGGTGTTCAAAATTTGGATGAAGGTGTTCGGATTTGGACCAAGGTGTCCACATTTTGAGGGGAGGTGTTCAACATTTCCAAGTCACTCATGTTAGGTGTTCCCAAGTTGACAGGCCTGAAGATCTCAGCTAATGATTCAGAATGGCCGCCTCTGCTCTACAAGGAATTTTCAAGATGGGTGCTGTTTGCCAATTGCCCAAATTCTTTCAGATGGTACAATTACTTCAGTAAATGTATAAGGCACATATCATAAATCAAAAAAAGCCCATTTGAACATATGCTCATATCCATATATGGTGTTATCACTCACTCAATCTGTCATTTTGTATTCATATGTTTTATTCTTTTAATTGAAAAATATATTTTCAGAGTGAGTGGGTCTCCATGAATTTCGAGTTGAAAAATATATTTTCAGAGTGAATGCGTCTCCATGAATTTCAAGTTGAAAAATATATTTTCAGAGTGAGAGGGTCTCCATGGATTTTTTCAGAGTGAGTTGGTCTCCATGAATTTCAAGTTGAAAAATATATTTTCAGAGTGAGTGGGTCTCCATGAATTTTGTCCCATTTGCAGAACAAGTAGTGGGACTGGTGATTGAATTGTATAAGGTGTCAGCCTCTAACCCTGCAGTGATAGAGCAACATGTTCTCTACAATATAGTCAAGGTAAGTTAGCCTTCCACCCACATAGATGTACACTCCTCACAGTTTTATGTCATCACGAGAGTTTTGACTAATATGTTATGTTCTCCAACTTTTTTTGTGAACAGAATTCAGCGATTGGTGTTCAGCATTCAGTGGTTGATGTTCGGCGATTGGTGTCTGTAACGGGTGCACCCCAGTTGTCCGAAACCCAGTTCTCCGAAACCCAGTTCTCCGAAACCCACTTGTCCGAAACCCATTACTCCGAAAAATATAGTCATAATTTACCAGAGAAAGGGGAGATGTACTAAGCTTAGGCCAGTTTCATGCCATGTATCTGGCCAAATTAATGGCATGGACGCATTCTGTTGTTCATAGATCTCTCTCTCACTTTGAATTGCATCCATAACACCACGGCGTTACCAGAATGACAGGAACGGGGGATTTATTTTACATTGTGATTCTAAAAAAAGGTTATCAAAACACAATATATATTACGGAACAGTTTATCTTATCTTCTTCAATCTCTCTTATATAGGCAAAATAAAATGAATCATTTTGAAACAGATAAAATAAGTTTACGCATATAGTACTTTAAGAATAAAACAGTATACATATTACGTTGTCAAAATATTTCGTCGTATTTAATTTCTTAGTCTCTGTATTTTATCAAATCGTAAAAGAACAAAACATTCTTAACTTAATCATTTGGGATCAACTGGAAACGAAGGCAGGCTGTCCTCGTATCAAAATGGATGTTCTCCCATTCGAAAGAAGTTTCATTTTCGCCATGTACTCACTTCATCCTTTTAATTTAATCTCTATTTCTCGAACAGAGTACGTAAATGAAGAATAAGTTTTGGTTTCAAAAAGATGTACATGTCAACTTTACTAAATAAATGCCCACTAGCTTGGGAAAGCTATTTTTCCTTTTATGAACGCTAATCACCCATTGGAAAATTGTTGTTCCCTCTCAAAAAAGGCCCATGGGCCATAAAGAAAATTGGTTTAAAAATTGTAGACCCCTATCTATGTATGTTGTGTAAACGCCATTTTACAATGAGAGTAACATAATTTAACTTTGTTTGTTTGAACATCTATATCACCTGTATATGAACTTTCGTAGGCTAAACATTAAACAATTAACGTCTTGACTTAGCATATTTAGCCTAATTTTGCAATGATGTCAACGTTATCCCAATGTTATGTTGTGATTCGCAGAGGTTGTGACAACGAGATTCGTTTAAAAAAATTGTATTTTTCAAATAAGATCCCCTAATTTTCGGAGAACTGGGTTTCGGACAACTGGGTTTCGGAAAACTGGGTTTCGGAGAACTGGGTTTCGGACAACTGGGTTGACCCCGTCTGTAACAATTGGCGGGTGGTGACATTTTGAATGTAACTGTCTTGTATGTTGCAGGATTCACTAATATCATTTGCAGAGATTATTGGATGGAGGCTAGTACTAGGGTGTGTAGAAGGGAGTTCATGTAATGGGCATGATTGATGTTTTTTGACTTAGAATTTTTTGAATTATCGATAGTGTTTGTATTTATTTCAGTGCGCTAGTGTTAACAAATACATGGCAAAACAATTAACAACTCTTAAGTGGCATGACAATAATGATGGTGTGGGGGTCAAGGGCAACTAGAAAAAATACAATGTAGTTTATTCAGTGTTAGGTTTATTGTATTCACCAATTATATCACATTGTTATTTTTGATAAAATAGACGAGTCTATATATAACAAACCAGATTTATTGATGGATATATAGATGGCATAAGTGTGTTGGTTGGCCTAGATATAGAAAGGCATGGTATTTCAATGAATGCAATTCTTGTTGATTGATCAATGTCATCATCAGTTGATACAAGTGGATGGACTTTTTACATGCTCATTGCTGATCAATTTTAAGATTCTTAAAACTGTAAAAATTAACTACTGTCTGTGTCGTCTTTTTAAAACAATCTTGTCAAATTGAAAACCATAAATTAGTGTGTAAACTTTGAAAGGCAAAATTATATGAAAAAGTAAATGTATAGCATCTCATGAGAAATCATTAGATCCTATGAGGACATTTAATGTTTTCAATACACAATGCAGATCTGGATATTGAATGACAAACTATTTTAAAAATTAATTGAATAATCAAATATATTCTAAACACTGTTGGTATGGAGAAATTAGTTGGACAGAGGATTGGGATTGTGGTTTATAAAGTCAGTTTACTAACTCCCTTCAACCCCAGTATGTTTCACTAAACCAACAAGAACAAAGGGTAGAGGGGTGTTGTTGATTGATTAAAGAGCCATATTAATAAAGTCAAAACCATGTTTCATATTAAATACAGTATTTTATTCCACCAAATTATTATAACACTGTTAAAGAAAATAGAGAAGGATTTATACAGAAGATGGACGTGGGCATTACAAATCATGTTTGCAAATTTTAACATTAAGGCAATTCTTAACAATCTGACAACATATACAGAGGTGTACCTAGGCAGGCGAGGCAAGTTGCCTTAACAAAATTTCTCTTGAAAACCATTCACTTGAATTTCTAACACTTTAACCTGTTAAATGTTATCCAGTTTTGTTTGTCTGCAGGATATTATCCCATTTGGCCTTGATTTACCTAGCCTATTTCAAACTCCTGGCTACACCCCTTATACATGTTATATCTACTTATTATAAGTGATGAGTTCTTGATGTCTTTATTTCATCTTTAGAAAATACAACCTTTTTAGTAAGGCCTGAAATCTAGTTAAAAAAATATTGAAAATTACCAGAATTTATGGACTCCGAAATAATGAGTCTATTTACATGTATATGAGTGGGCAGTAGATTGATACAATAATATTCCAAAAATCTGTCATAGGTGTAAATCAGGCCTCAATTCATAAACACATTACATTCACAATTGTATACGAGACAACAGTTATTAAGGGACATTATTTAAGGAAGGAAATTAGAATAATTTTTAAAAATATTTGCAAAATCAAAATATGAAATTACTGGAGAAGTGATATATATTTGATTTGAAGCTCTTTTTCTCAGTTTTAAGGATAAATCCCTGTTTCCGAAAACAGTATAAATGTTTACAAAATCACTAATTTTGATGTTACAGTTAAAAAGAGAGAATTACTAAAATCTAAATATTTAAAGTCTATAAATTTCTAGTAAAAGCTAAAACTATATATATAATAGCTGCTGTTGCTGTGCATGTACATGTGCATATTTGCTCTTGTGTTTTTACATGAAACATTACTTCTTATTTGAAACATAGAATATAATATGAAACATAGCATATCATATGAAACATCAAATATAATATGAAACACAGAATATAATATGAAACATAGAATATAATATGAAACATCGAATATTATATGAAACATAGAGTATAATATGAAAAATAGAATATAATATGAAACATCGAATATAATATGAAACATAGAATGTAATATGAAACATAGCATATAATATGAAACATAGCATATCATATGAAACATAGAATATAATATGAAACCTAGAATATAATATGAAACATAGCATATAATATGAAACATAAAATATAATATGAAACATCGAATATAATATGAAACATAGAATATAATATGAAACATAGCATATCATATGAAACATCAAATATCATATGAAACATCGAATATAATATGAAACATAAAGTAAAATATGAAACATAGAATATAATATGAAACATAGCATATCATATGAAACATAGAATATAATATGAAACATCGAATATAATATGAAACATAGAATATAAAATACCAATCTATACATAATTTAAGGACAAAATGTTGTTGTAAAGGAAATAAACTAGAATTGGAGATACAGAAAATGATAATAAGTGCAAGCAACATTTATAATTTTTTTAACCAATACATAAATTCTCAAAAAGGTCCACGATATTGTATCTCTTATCAGTTGGACCCAAACAGGTATCATAAGAAATACTAGCTCAATAAATTCTGAAATTAAGACTATTTTTGGAAAAACTACTTGCTGTCTCTGATTCTTCCTTTAAGACATTCTGTTATGCATTTGGAAAAAAGAAGTCCTCGTGAATCTCTTATTAAAGAACTGCCAAAGGCATTAACGCTTTTTCCGTGTTGAATTAAAAATAAATCTCTGAGATATGGTTTGGCAATACAGTGTTAAGAAAAATATTTGTAACTTATTTTAAAACTTGGCAATAGTAGAGCAAATCCTGTAGAAATTACCCTTCAGTATTTCCTTATATAATAATTCTCTTATAACATAGGAAACTATCAGGGAAAATGTTACACAGGGTTTATATGTTAAAAGTGAATAATTCTGCCACACATACCACAGCCCCGGATAAATATCCAGATATTTATCTCCATTAGCATTTTACTAGGGGCTGTGCACTAGAAAAGATTATGTATAATGAAACTTGGTCAACAGTTTAAATATGTATTTCTATCTTTGAAATTCTGAGTTCAGTAGTTCCAGTCGCACGCTTTTGATTATTTAAAGGTTTTTGTTACATTCTGTTATGCTGTTTTAACAGCCCTGATCATGTTATATATTTGCTATATACAGTTATATGTACTTTTTGTCAAAATCTCACTCCTGCCACCCCAAGTTTATAATGTAATACTCAGGTACATTCCTTCTACCCTATTATAGGATATAAACTCGGGGAACACTCTTAAGATACACAGTGAAGAAATATTCAGTCATAAAAGACTCACAGAAGAATTGTTTTTTTATAGAATTGATAAGTATCCTTAATTTTTGTAACTGAATGAAGAAACAGTAGTTTCTAAACTCATTTGCCATTTTCTAGTTTTTGAAGTGTCCTTTTTATATTTCATTTTCCCTGACATTTCTTTATAATTTAGAGTATGTACTTCTTGTTTATTTACTTTCTCCTTGCTAATTTCACTCTATTTCCTCATATTTTGTGTTTGAAGACTGGACCTCCATGATATTTTGTTATGATTATCCATGCAATATTGTTTTTTTTCTTCACTGTGTAATTTCCTGTGAAATCCTCGTTGTTGTAACATTAGAGACAAATCTCCCATTCTCTGTCTATTGTCTAGATTGCAACGCATCAAAAAGCTTGACTGTAATATCAAACCTTCATATGTCTTCCCCTACCACAGTTAGGGGGTATCTTTTGTGTATGTTTACTATTTGTAGTAATATGCCTACATTTAGAATGTTCCGACATACCTAAGTAGCTCCTCTCTAACTGTTGTAGAGCATACATCGCAGTTTTTCAATCTCCGATTTCAACAATGAGACCTCGGTTCTCAATTGGAGGTTTTCCTGTTCAAGAAACACGACTCTCATTGCTATCTGCTCCTCTTTCATACGACGCTGATCACGAGAGCGTTTGGCTGACTCGTTGTTTTTCTTCCTCTTATCCCAATATGCGCCATCTTTCATCTGATCAGGAACAGACTGTGTGCGTTTCTTGGGAGGCATACTAGAATTGTCGAGATCATCAAGCCCACCCTCAGCACCACGGGGATGCTCAGATGACGAGGAGGGGGCAGATCCGGAATTTGATGCAGCAGGTGAAGAGTTGCTACGGTTATAGTTCATGGGTGATGTAATTATGTTGCTAGAGCGACTGTTGATCATATCACCATTTCGGCTATTTGAGTAATCCAGACTACCCCCAGTGCTACTAGGCATACCAGAGCCATCTGGTGGTGGAGCATTCCGGCCCTCAGAGATATCAATGAAGCCGGACATCTGGAGGCTTGAGGGACGAGGAGGTGATGGAGGTTCAGATTTCGTCACCATGCACACCGGTTGTTCCTGCTGGGAATGATGTGCCATTTGTGGGTGAGATTGGTACTGCTGCATCGCGATTGCAGCTGCCATACTTGTCATTGACGCTGTTACAGCTGGGGATGTCATCGGGTTCTGCATGTTCGGATAAAAGCTCTGGCTTGATTGAGTTGATATTGGAGATCGTGGGTATGCTTTAAATGGTCTCTCAGGGGGTCTGTGTTCCATCCAAGAATTTGGTAAAATGTTCAGCATTACTTTGTGGGTAATGCTACAGCTTGAGTGGTCAGCCACTTAGCTATACAGACTGCCTGGAAATACAACAAAAAGATACATAAGTTCTCATATTATTTGATTCTGGGTTTGTTTTCCATGATTGACATGAAACATAAATACCATATTACAGTGAATTCTGGGTTTAAATATTTTGGTTGTTTAATTTTTTGTTGATGGCAGTTGGTGTTTGGCGTTTGGCAGTCAGTTTCTGTAACAAATGGCAGGTGGTTACATTTTGCAAGTTAATGCCTTGTTTAATAATTTGTGACCAGCATACATGTACGTTTCAAAAACCTGAATATAAATCTTGAAAAATTATAAGCTTCAACCTGATCATGTGCTCGGTAATTTTTTGTATCATCTTACAATTTCTTTTGTTTAACTGAATGAATCTTAGATATTTTAAAATCATTGAGGATGTGGCCAACATACCTTTGAATATATTCCCTCTGCATTTTCATAATTTTTCATTTGAAATCATGAGCAATATGATAATATTAAATGTGATGTAATTTTGTTATGTCATCCTCCTCTCACTCTTGTGCAAAATATCACAATGGTCATGTTTTGGCACAAGGAATACAGTGGAAAGGTGTGAAATTTGCAAAAAATAAAAAAAACAGACATGAAGTATACTATCAAAATTGTTTAGAAATCTCAGAAACATAAGCATTTTCTTCAAATTTTAAAAAGAAAATGTGTAAATTAAGCATATGTAGGGTGACTTTTTCATCAGGGTATGTTTTGCAACTATATTCTGTTTATGTCTTGCTTGTTACCCTTAGGTGCTCTCTTGTATGCTGCACATTTGATTGTATGTTTGTGTTTCGCAGGTAGGTGGTAATAGGCATTCTGATACTCATCACATTTTTCTGTTAAAGTCAAAACATCCATCTCATGGCTGAGAATTGAAATGACGTTGCATGATGGGTAAATGTACATGGATGTTACTGGGGTTAAATAAATGGAATACATTTTGAATTTGTGTGAAATGTTTGAGAGAAATCTGGTCATTCCCTGGTCTAGAATAGGTAGTATACCCGAGGTTTCATGGGATTTATAAGACAGAATTTTTAGTTAATTTCCCCTCAAATCTTGAGTAATATTTGTTTATACATCCTGCATAAATATATATTTTTGAATAGGATCACTCACTTAGAAATGTTTATGACACAATTTTCAATCATATGGTGGAAAAACAATCCATGTTGGAGGGACGCTATTTATTATTAGCACACAGTTGTTTATAAATAATTGGTTCAAGGATAATTATTGGTCTGATTACATAATATTATTACGCAAGTCATTTGTTCTTACTATAGGCTGACTGGACACTATGACATGGCCTCAGGATTTCTCCATGTGTATGTGTTATCTCTGGTTATTTTGATGTATGATAATGAAGAAAATTAAAAAGATATATTTTCAAATGCCAGAAGGTATGACACATTTTAAAAGGATAATATTCACCAATACAACATGAAACTTCCGGTAATTGATTTTTGCATTACTAGCTTAACCTCTTGAATACCAGCCTCTAAAAAGGGTTTGAAACCAGAGCATTTTTCATTTTCTGCTAGTTTTCTGGATATTTATATCTAAAAACACTATGTTTGATATTTGATTTCATAAGAAGAGTAAACATAGACCCATTACATACATTCTAAAACATTAGTTGTGAAGAATGGATAAAAAATGCCAAAGTTAGAGCAGTTTTAGTGAAAAATTCTGTGACAGATATATCTGTCGCTCTGGGTTCCAAATGGATTTTATTTGTGACAGATATATCCGTCATTCTGGGTATTCAAGAGGTTAAGATATGTTGAGAATGGTTGAAATCGTTTCGAAAAAATCATCGTTAAATTCATTGTGTGTTCACTCATGTAGAGATATAAAGATGCTGTTACTGTAATGTACATGTACAACTTTACGAACATGTTTTTGCCTTGCATATTCATTTGTAGATTATATTAATTTATGAACAATAGATACTAATCAGACCCCATAACATCATTCTCATACTCATAGCATCTTCCTGTTTCAGAAAGAAAGAAGGTATACTTATATATTTAACACATGGAATTCATGAGTTAACTTGAGTTAGTACATGTGAGATGGTATAAAAAGATCAAAAAGATTAAATTGAGCAACTTAGACAAATATTGTGCATGCAACTGGAAATGGAGAGTTGACAGCAGATATGTATACAATAGCTGAAATAAATGATTATATCCTATTCAAAGAGATGGAGCTCTCTTTTAAGTGTGTAGTTTCTGTATCCATTGACTTGTATAATATATGTTCATCTGTTCATTGGTAATAGATTGGGGTTTGACCAGACTATGCAATAGTATCTCAGCTGTAAATGAAGACAATTTAACTCTGACAAAGGTTTAACTTATTGTTCTATTAATGACTGGGCATCGGACAAAGCCCAGCAGATTTTCCATAATCAATATACAATTATGTATATGCCGAATGACCCAAGAATTCATAATGTAGCATGTTAGCTTAGCCATTAACATAATATTGCAGCATGGTCAGGTTTCAACCTTGATCAAATATCATGAAGGCCACATATGTTTGATGACCTATGTGATGTTTGATCCTTGATATTGGAAGTAGATTGGAAAAATGGACCCTACTACCCACATCATCTTTTGTCTCTAAGGCAGAGCTGTCAAGTGTCCCGCGAATGGCGGGATTATCCCGCGAATTCGATCAAAATTAGGCTAATTCGCGTGTCCCGCAATGTCCCGCGAAGTCCCGCAATGTGGCTTTCGACCTCCGCGAATTTCCGAAATTGTTGCAATTCCCTATATGGTGATTATCTTATCTTATATAAGAAGCTAAGTTTTTGCACTTTTGAGGAGTAAAGTTTACCTAATTTTAAGTACCTAGCATGCTGTTGTTTGGTATCAAAATAAAGAGGAAGGGTTCAACTTTCATTTTAATTACGACAATAGGGATGTAGGTCACAAATAGTTCCAATGTTGGCCTTTTTACTATCCGCGTGGCCTTCATCTCAGAACTGAGCAAATGTTAGCAAACGCGAGTTACAATAAATGGACGCTGATATCTAGAAAGGGTTTGTAGAAAAAACCGGGTACCGGGTAGTAAATTCTCCATGCTGGGTTCAAACTTGGTACCCGGTACCCGGTCAAAAAAACGGGTACCCAAAAAATGAAAAATACGAGTATAACATAATTAGATTATCAGAAAACGTGTAAGATTTGTTTTGAATTTACAAAAATGTATGTAACATCCTTCAAAATTGACCTAGAAGCTTCAAATAAAAAGCATATTTTAAGGCTCCTTTCTTCCTCTATCGTCATGACCATATTTTCATTGGTTATGTTCACGTACCAACATACGAACTATTGAAAATAGAGTAAAATTGATCTGTCTTGTTATTCAAATCGTCTTACAATGTCATTGGCGTAGCCAGGAGAGGGTGTGATGGTGGGATCGCATCCCCCCCCCCCTTCATTACCAATGGAAATATGACCATGATGATAAAGGAAGAAAAGAGGCTTAAATGCTTTTTATTTGAAGCTTCTAGCTCAATTTTGAAGGAAGTTACATTTTTGTAAATTCAAAACAAATCTTACACGTTTTCTAATGATCTAATTATGTTGTATATTCGTATATTTCGTTTTTTGGGTACCCGGTTTTTTCGACCGGGTACCAAGTTTGAACCCAGCATGGAGGATTTACTACCCGGTACCCGGTTTTTTCTACAAACCCTATCTAGAAAAGTAACCCCATTCCCTATAATTTGATGTAGATTAATCGAACCCCTATATCATGGGCTTTCAATTGAAAGCCCATGCCTACAGTATGGTAGTAGTTGGTCACGACGCCAGAAGCAGAGAAGTGCAAAGTATTGTTCCAAATTTTTGAATTTCGTATTAGATTACGATTCTCACACCTGAAGCATGGTTTTTGTTTTTGATAAATTACAATAAAGTTTAATAATATTTCTATGCGTATTTTGTGAAATTATGTTGACGTTTATTTAAGTTACAATGTAACGGTGCATTATATTTGATTAATCAGTATCTGAAAGTTTGATTCAAGTACTTTTACACGCTTTTACATTAGTCCAAATCACGCAAATCCCTTGAATGTCCCGGGACATCCTGCAAATTTAGGTGGATGTCCCGCGAAATCCCGCAAATTTAGGGCACTTTTTCTAGAAAATCTGTCCCTCTATGAAGTTTTTGCTGGTAAACCTGTTAACTGTCCCGCAATTAGGGTGTTTGTCCCTCGAATGGTCCCGCGAAATCCCGCGAATTTGATAAAAAAAAAATTGGCCTATAAGCGCAATCACGCAAATCCCTTAAATGTCCCGCGAAATCCCGCGAATTTAGCAGATGTCCCGCAAAATCCCGCGAATTTAGTAGATGTGCCGCAAAATCCCGCGAATTTTGGGCACTGAGTCTAAAAAATCTGTCACGCGAGAAAATCTTTGGGGGTGACAGTACTGCTAAGGGTATTTCAATTCTTTCCATAGCTGCAGTGATGCCTGATCTTGAAGGATCAACCATATTTCAATCTGTATTTTTCAAAGATCTATTTTACACTAGAGAAAATTGTAAAAGATACCCTTAACTCCAGAGATTGGCAATTCTTTAGTCCTTTTCCATTTCACATTCAGTAGAACAAGCCACAGAAGTCCAAGATAAAGCATTCCTTTATATTATATATATTACTACCTAACAATTTTACATCACTGAATTGACAAATCATACACGGTGAAAACATAAAGTTGCAAAAGGATATTGCTACAGCTACATTGTATACATTATTTCTCATTTTCTGTGAAATCAACCACTTAGGCAGTGTGAATTAATAATTAATACAAATAGCTGATGATTTTTCAATTTCAGTTTAAACTTCCAGGTAATATTATCATTATTCTAAAACATTCAACTAGGCATGCTTGATGAAATCTAATTAGTCTAATTAATTAATTATCTTAGTCTAATTATATGTTATACATTATATGCACGCTGTTGAAGATTATAAATTAATTATCTTTACTAAATTAGAAAAGAATTTATGCCAAGCAACAACGATTAACAGGTTGTGAAGTGGTTTTACAGTTCAATCTTGTTCAATGTCAATAAAATATATGGATCAAACTTAATCAACGTTTCAAACAAGATTACATAGCTCATATTTATTTCTGTGGGATACAGTGTTAATCCACAGGGCAAACAAAACTTAAATATATTCAATTAGTATTAATACTAGCATGAAAATGCATGCTCAACAACAAGTAATATTTACCATTAAATGTGGAAACTAGGTTTATATATTTAATTTCCATAAAATATATTTTTAGTGTTTTAAAGTGGACTAAATTTTATTATGCAAGACATATTTTTAGAACCCCGCATTTGAATAGCCAATGGTCAATCACCCATGTACAGGTGGAACTTAAAAGTAACGGCAGCTGATATTTCTCTCAACTGCACTTTTATCATAAAAACAGAATAATCAACTTTTATTGAGTAATCAACTAGTTTGACAAGATAATTTAAAAATCCCCATTATAATTTAAAAATCCCCATTATAGTGTGAAAATCCCCATTTAATCTCTTAATCTCCTCTGGCTAGCAACACTTAAAAAGGTTGTCACATAATACTTTAAAATCTCACTCAATGGAAAATTTATTGTTTGTTTGTTATTCCTTGACTTTTATGAATTAATCATTTTTCATGCTTTTAATATTTGAGAATTGAAAATTTCATTATCTAAAATCATATTAACACATGAGCAGTATATTAAAATGTAACATCAATGATAAATAACTGAAACTCCTTTTGAAGTAAACAAATAGTAACTTACAATATAAAATGTTGTATTTACTCCTTTCCTCCAGGTAAATAAATCGTCATCCAACTTTTACTTTTCTCAGAAAATCTGCAGCTAGATTTAAACTTTTCTTTATATTACTTTTTTCGGCTAGACTTCTAATAGCCTATTCCCGGTATGCTTTGAACCATTGAAGTTGGTTAACAAGTTTATCATCTAATAGGATTGTTGAAACTTTTCAAATTCTGTAATTTTTGATAATAACAAATAAGTTCTATGTACCTGGAGTGTTCCGTTTGCAATATTAGAACTAAAATACTCAATATGTAATAAGATTGGTTGGGAATGGTCAACCTTTGTTGGTACACGCTGAACTTTATTTCACCTCGTGACTCAATATAGGCTTATGACGGCATATTTGGATGTAACATATAACAGAATTAGATAATGCATCATAACAACTAGACATTGTGTGTGTATGATGGTCAATTGCTGGGCAGTTTGATATATAATTCTACACAATCTCCACCAGAGTTATGCTGGGTCATATTACAATTTCCGTCTGCTACTCGTGTTTATTCTACTTCAATTTTCTCTAAAATTTCAATGAAGTGTACGATTTTATTGAATTTCTGTATAATTTAGAGAATTTACTTCATTCCTGTTTTGTTTATTCCTTGCTTATTTCACTCTTTTACTTGTTATTGTGTTTTTCCCCGAATCCCATGGCATTGAACATTCCATGGGGAAATGCAAATTTAGACCTGCTGCAAGGAGGATTATGTTGTCCCCTTCTGTTTCAAATAATTTTTATCAGTCACAGGCTTAAATTAATAATATTGGTGACAAAAAAGAAAAATGATCTTATCAAAAAAAATAATTAGTGATCATTAAAATCTTATTATTTTCTATATATCTAATGCCCACTAATACCAACAGAAACTTGATTCACAAGATTACCCCATAGGTCTTTTCAGCCATTAAAGGCAGGATCAATAAGAAAAACACGATCGGACACAACTGAATTCAGTTTTGTTTAATTCTTCAAACAATTCCATTTTTTAAACAGTTAGTCAGAACATCTGAATATTTGTATCTTTCATCTTTCCTCATCATTCTGGTCAAGTTGTTTTATCTGTATAGCGTTCACCCTCCCTTTGACCTAATGGTCTCGCCCTAACCCCAAGTAAGGACACAGCTCAATTCAAGATAACATGACATCATGCCAAGATATCTTGGATTTCTAAGATAGGTTATGAGGTTTTCATATGATGAAAACAACTACACTGTCTCAACCATGTAATAAATAAAGAACCTCTGTGAAGTGAAAATGAACCCCTTTTTTGTACTGGGTCAGAAATTGAATTTTGAAAATTTGTGTTTTTCAATTTGAGACCCAATAGTCATTTAAAGCCCATGTTGCTAATGCCAAGAATAGTACATTGAGTAGAAAAGGTATAAACTGGGGAAATATAGTATGCAGAATGGTTTATATGTGTCACACTTATTTGGTATTTTTATTTTTTTATCTTTAGAATTCGCTACTGTAACATAATGAATGCAATTTAATTGCCACTTCAACATCTTTTCTACATTGATACTACAGTGACACAATCTCCACTATGACACCATCACCAGTTTACCAGTTTAATATGTTATACAATGTAATTCTGGTTGATTGGTCCTGTGTGTGTGTGATAAGGTCATGTATTGGTCATTGTTCATCAGAAAAATGTCATATAAACAATCATATTTTAAAACATAAAATAGATTGATAAATAGTGCGATTTGCAAAAAAATATACAGGCATAAAGTTAACTCGAGAAATTGGGAAAAATGAAAGTCGTTTCGGTCAATTTTAAAGAGAAATTGAGGAAAATAAGTGTTATTTAGACATGTGTCTATTATTTATGATTAATTATTAATTCACGCCAGAATCACAATTAGACCATCATAGACTATAGTTATTACTCAAATTGACTATAATTATGCTGTGGTAGAGGCCAGTGATCTCGAGATCGACTGAGGACAAAATAAATGACTGTTATATTGACGTCACATAATATTACTTGATATTTTATCTAATTTGACCATTTTGCAACTTAGTTTCAGAAATTGGCATTAGATACATGTTACTTAGATCCTTGTGTATATTTATTTCTGGGGGTGCTTGAAGGATCATTAACAAACCCCCAAACCATAGAACACCTGAAGATAGAGATCAAGAAAGATCAGGGCCATATCTGTTGGGGAATGTGTTAGGGTTGTCAATATCTTTACCCATAGAATCCAGGTGTGCCTGACATTAGAAAAAATCTTATAATGCTCATGAAAGTGTATCCATTTGAGCTAGTCATCTGAAACTCCTTGTGGAGTTTGCTCCATGAAGTTTAGTTTTACTTTGCAAAAAAAGAAAGCCGGGAATCATGTAGATGAAAAAGTTATTTAACATGATTATGGTAACACTTTTTTGTGTCGCCCTGACTGACCATTCACTGTCCCAGGTGATGCAATGAATTGAAATACCTTTGGACCATACCAAGGATTCCTAGGCAGGTATTTTATAATTCAGAGGGGTGTATTGTTATATATTATTATATATTATTGTTGCATGTCTGGGGTTTATTCATATATTCACCCTTACATATTGACATACAGGTTTACCACTATGATCTATTCACCAGGATGACAGGTAAAGTGGAATGTGTCACATAACAATTAAATGGAAGATATGGTAGGTGTGAATAAGACCAAATCGAATCCCAGACTTTGATGACACAATACATTGTATTTCTGTTTGAAATATAACATTGACTGAGCCCATTGTCTTTCTGTTTATGAAACATAACATTGACCGAGCCCTCACTTTCTTTCTGTTTTGAAATACAACGTTGACTGAGCCCATTGTCTTTCTGTTTATGGAATACAACATTAACTGAGCCCATTGTCTTTCTGTTTATGAAATACAACATTGACTGAGCCCATTGTATTTCTGTTTATGAAATATAACATTGGCTGGGCCCATTGTCTTTCTGTTTATGAAATATAACATTGGCTGGGCCCATTGTCTTTCTGTTTATGAAATACAACATTGACTGAGCCCATTGTCTTTCTGTTTATGAAATACAACATTGACTGAGCCCATTGTCTTTCTGTTAATGAAATACAACATTGACTGAGCCCATTATCTTTCTGTTTATGAAATACAACATTGACTGAGCCCATGTCTTTCTACTTATGAAATATAACATACATGGCCCATTGTCTTTCCCCCTTATGAAATACAACATTGACTTAGCCCATTGTCTTTCTGTTTATGAAATATAACATTGAGACTGAGCCTATTGTCTTTCTATTATGAAATTTCCCAATTGAATCAGGATGTCAAATATATTTTTCTTGGAATAGATAATTAATGAAGCTCTACTTGAAGACTAATCAGTCGTTGACAAAATTGGAAATGCAGGGATGCACAAGCCAACTCTATAGTAAGCTCCCAGATCTGAAGCACACAAACAATATTTGAAAACTGCATAAAATATAAAAACTGCAATAAATCCATGGAATCGGGGATCGGTGGACTGGCAGAGTTTGGTGAACTTAACAGGTTTCAAGCACTAAGTCAACTGATTACAATGTCCTCTGTTGTACTGCTGGATGAATGTTTATGACCTAATCTATCAGCTAACCACTCCATAAGCTTATATGTAGTCTCCACATAGGGGATGTAAGATTAGGGGATATATTGAGACAAGTTCACAATATGTAAACAACTAACTGATAAGTCTTGGTCAGTTGAAGGCCAAGGTAATATAGAACATTAGGTTCTCAACTAATCAAGGAATAACTGCTTCACATAGATCTGTAAATTGATCAAGATGTTTGGCTTTCCCATCCTCAACCCACTGCTGTAAACTTTTGAATTGAATTAGCGCTCTTTGCCGAATGGGATTTCTGAAAAAGTGGTTCACACTCATTTCTTTTCTTTAAAGCAGTTATGTAGGTTTTGTTTACAGTAAAACACTGTTTTCTTTTAAATAATCTGTTTGTTTCTATCTGGGATTTAAATAAAATTATTTTTGAAAGTAGTATTTTTGAGACTGTGACAGGCAGAATTGTTGATATTATCACTTGTACTTGTAAATGGTTCATCCCAATAAATGGTCCATTTGAATTAATTGTATTCAGCCTTAAAAGGTCAGAGTATAAGCTAGTGTCTTCCCTCCTTAAAATGTTATTTGGACAATGGCAAAAATATCTTACTTTACAATTCTTGTTACTTCTCCCATTTCCTTTTAATAGAATCAATATGGACGATTGTATTTTCTTTTTTCCTCATTGAATGTGCCCACTTTATTCAGTGGAACTTTATTACAAGTCACTTTATTTCTTGTACTGGCAATGAGCTCATAATGTCTAAGTCTGGCTAAACTTGCATAACTGTGGCATATCTGATAAATGCTCCTTTTCTCCTCATAAAGGTCATGAACTTAGGGCAAAAGTTGAGAGCATCAACTGGAGCATCTTTTCATTTTATGACCCTGGTTTTGACAATATTCAGAACATCAGATATTAAATTGAATTTGATTTGTAAAGATTGTGCAATTTAGTTTCTTTGAAGAATGAAGGCTATAATGATTGATAGTGTGCTCGCATTATTACTGGTAGTAACCATTTTTATTAGTCTAAAGTTTTAACACATTTTGGTATTATATTCATATCGAAGTGTCTGGAGTACCTTAAAATTTAAGGCTCTTTAGCCAAAATGCTAAAGAGCCTTAAAATTTAAGGCTATTTAGCTGTGAACATAGTGTTTTGGCTAGAGAGCCTTTGTGTTTATAATCCGTGTTTATATTGTTTTTTATTGAAGTTTTTGTCATCTAAACAATAAAACAACACTCTCGAAAGTTTTTCAACCCACAATGCCACTTAAAAATTTCACACATGTATATCAGTATAGAGTTGCAAAAAAATTAGTCCTCTCATGGAAAAACACTCTGGTATAGTGGTTAGGGTGCTCGCTTTCCACTTCTGCGGCGTGGGTTCGATTCCCCGACGGAGCACTTTTTATTTTAATTAACAATCCGGAAGTTTGTTCTCTGAGGTCCGGAAATTATGTACACAATTTTTTCTAGAATTCTCGGGCTTGCTCCATCGCTCAATCATCAATGTTCAATGAAATTAATCACTTGTATTGGCTTTGCTATAGTCACGAGAATACAGGGAATCCCATTTTAAGATGGCAAAAAGTATGATGAAGACCTGGGGATGAAAAAGGATCTTCTTTCTTCTAGATCAGCACATCTTGACGCAGTTTATCGTGAATGCAGGGACATCAGCCCAGGGACATCACAGAATAC